AGTCCTGAACATAGCTAAAATGAAAGATAGTCTGGCCTATATAAGGCTTCCCGTTAGCACCATTAGAACTAAAATCTTTAATCACACTTATGTACATAGCAAAAAGTTGACGACTGTGTTATTGCGTTTAATTATTGCAGACTGCTTGTATTCCATAGGCCCGAACCTAACCACCGTAAGTTTGCGATTGTGGGTTTAGAAACTGATTGGCATGGCTGGTTTTTTAACGGTTGCCCCGAGTAGAGAAAAGGATTCGTGCTAACGCAGAGAAAATGACTCTGCTACAAAATTTGACCTATTTTCTGCTTTTTTTGAGCAACATCTATACTGCAGCTGAACTTTCTAAAATTCTTCTTTCTCCAACCCCGCCGCCCCCCCCCCTGCCGCCGGCATCTCGATAAAATGCAGTATGGCAATTACGTGGTCTTGGCCATGAAAGAGCTTCTAACGGAATACAATCCCACCACTGAGAATGGCAAAGCTGCTGCCGTGCTTTGGGATCTCACTATGACGGTGAGTTGTGTTGCTGCTTTTTTGCCAGAAGAGCAGAAGCAGTCCGACTGCAAACAACGAAACCACATATGCGTATGCTTGTATCTATTCTATTGATTGTGATAAATATATTCCGCCGATAGGGGCTTAAACGTATGTCACCATGGTAATTGGTAGGGGTTCTGAGTGATCGAGCTCATCATCCACTGTGTACTGCGGCCACTTTTCGTTTTCTAGCTTTACCCTAACTTTAGTTTAGTTTACTTTTTTAGCTTATTATTTAGGTCAGTCGGTTAATTTTAGTTTTGGTTTAGTTCAGTTTAGCTAGATAACACCAAAGTTAAATCAATATACTTAAACAAGCATTAAATTCTAAACGAAATTAACTTAAGTACAGTAAACTAAGCAAAACCAACTAAAATGAAAAACAAACCACATACAAAACTAGAATTAAACCAATAAAATTAATTGCTAGGGTGGTTTGGCAGATTTACTTAATTCAGTTGACTAATTTGTGCAAAATTTGCGGCCTCGGTGGGCGCCGAACCCGCACAGCAAGTGAGGCCCTACCATTGCGCTACGAGGCTCACTTTTAGCCATACATTCAATCACACTCGGTTCGACTTTACCCGCTCAACTTACTGCTCGTATGGAATCCACCATCCAACCAAGACCACAAATTGTTCACAATTTTGTCAACTAAAAATTAAATAATATCACCAGCCCCTAGAGACAGAATTCTGGGGCTAGGGATGTATGAGATGGTAGACCAATTTTATTTTTACCCGACGTCGGTTTCAAACTATGCCACCACGATAACTGACAGGGGGTATTTATTGTTCAAGCTCACTCATTTTCACGGTAAAATAAGGTCACATTTTGCAAGGCTTAGTTTTCCTGGGAAATCTATCAAATTACCACAATGTAGTATTGTAGCAAAAAGTGTTACATCTGTGAAAGACCTGGCGAAGTTTCTTCTGCATCAGTGAATGAAAAGGAATAAGTATTGATTTGTTTTAGCCTTGCCTGCCTACTGAAAACCGTCCCTCTGGCGCTAAGGACTTGTTCTTTCGGCCTCACTCCGGATAAGTAGGTTTGACTATAGCAACTGGAAGGACTGCAAACCCCAGCCATAACTGCTCTTCGAATAAATAATCAAAACACATATTTGCAAACGCACCAGACACCTACTTTCTAGTGTGTGTGCGTCCTTAGCCCTTCTCCTTCTGTAGGCTCCATATAATCAGATGTGAAATTCTTCACTGCAACTCGGCGATACAGGGCTCTTCTGTCCTAGTAACGCTTTAAGTGTGTTTGCGACATCTTGCCTCCAATAACACTGCAGTTTCCTTGGCCTACAATGCGACCAGATCTACTTATCAATATTGAGTAGTATATGTGAGGCAATGTACGATGCAGCTGAGTTAAGCGGTTAACCCTTAAACATGGAGGTAACTGGCATTTAAATTAACGTGTACGGCAGTGCTAGAAAGCCAGGAGAATAATAATCATCAGTACTGAATGACGGCGCTGTTGACGATTTTGCTGATGATTATGCTGCTGTTTATTCTGGTGAAGATAACGCTAGTATGAAAACTCAATTATAACGGAGAACGACCAATAGAGGAATATAATTAATCCAAGAAAACGGCCCTTTTAACCGAAATGGAATCTGCAACAACCAGAACTGTTTAGACAGGATTAAGTCTCCATTTATGTCCATGTAATTTTGTAAATTGCATTTAACTGACAGCCCGCTGCGTACACCTTTAGAATGTTTCGCTCTCTCTCGAGTTTAATTTTCCAATCAAAACCGACAACATTTCGACCGAATTTATGTTAACATTTTCATATATGCATTATAAGAAATAACATTTAACGCCTAACTACTATGCTCCCCTTTCCCAACTTCAATCTACCCTAGATGAATGGCGTTTGCTGTGGTCTGAAGGGTGTTGACGATTTTAGCAACTCAAAATTCAAACCAAGTGAGTTTCGCGCAAGACTGAAATGTTATTGTTCCTTTGCCGGTTTCCCGATAATCAGAAATGCAAGTCCTCTTGTATTTTAAGACTATCATCCGTGTGCGTTGACGTGATCTAGCGAATTTAATCAAACTACTGATGGCCAATAGTGGTGAATATGCGAGTTCCAGGGAGCAATTTTAGAAGAAGGAGATGCGACCACTGGAATCAGAGCTTTCTTGTCCTAACGTTTCGGTCACTGCACCAATTTAGACCAAAGCGGTGGCTATAGGAGTGGATAATTACAATACGCACGCGGATGAACGCTACAAACTACAAATGCCGTGCAAACTGTGCATGTTTCACCCCTATCTGCGCATGATTTAGAATATTGCACCATTACCTATGATTAAGGGTTCCCGACGGAATTCTAAACGTCAAGATAATAAAACTCTTGTTCCAGTGGTGGCATTTCCTTCTTCCAAAACTAATGATACGGATACATATATTCGGATCTTTAATAGGTAGTTCTACTCACTAACAGTCATTGTTTGAATTACTGTTTCGGTACCACTACTCATACACACTCACAACATCAACAGCCACCAGAACCGCGTGAGCCGCGAGGCGCTCTAGTCATCGTTACAAGGCCCACAGTCAATCAACAAGCGTAACGATTTGCCGTTCCCAT